AGGTTAAATAAGGCTTCAAACTCTCTTTGGTGTTGGGGTATAGCTTGCTTATTTCTAGTGAATGATTTGAAAAAGGCGGTATCGAAATAGTTGAATTTTGTGTTGATTGATGCAGGTAGGTTATATGAGGTAGGCTGGGTGGTGGCTTTGTATTGAGGAACGCAGTTAGTCTTGTATTGTCTTGTAGTGCTTCAAGTATTGCATCATTGTGCCATATTGTCTTGTCGAATGGCTGGTTTCTTTGTGTGATTGCATCTGTAATTTGTCGATTCCATAGTAGTGTAGGTTCAATTTGGAGGTCAGAGTTATTTAAAGCAGAGGTGTTCTGTAATGCTTGACTATAAGAGCGGAGTGGGTGGGTGTACTTGGGAGTGTTGTTGGTTTGGTTGTTGTTGTTGGGGTTGTGGTGTTGGCTTGGATCGGGTTCACGTCTATTTGTATAGATAGTAGGCCATTGTTGTCCTGATTTGGACTGGCTGGTGTAGATCTGTTTTGATTTGTTTGCGGGAATAAATCCATGGGGTCCGAGTTGGTAGGGTCGGGTTCACTTTGTATTAGGTTTGTTGTTTTGTTTAGCTGACTAATAGGGGCTGTGTTGAGGTCATGTGACTCCGATTGATCTGTAGTTGGGGGTAAGCTGGAATGCCCACTTTTTGTTTTGTTGTAAGGGTTGTGTCGTAGATTGGGTTGACGGGTTTTGTTGGTGTTGGTTCATTTGGTTGTAGGTGTTGAAGGTGGTGGTGTTGGAGCTTCGGGTGGATTCTCTGGATCAACAGTATCAGTAGAGGGTGTGGAGGTTCCGAAGAGTGTGTCAGAAACTGATCGAAGAAGTGATTTGTATTGTGACATGATGTCAGAGGCTCCAAAGGAGCTATTGTCGCCAGCAGGTGTGTTTTTGTTGTTCAAACTTTTGTGTGCTATGTTTGTAGTACTGTGATTATACTGTTATCGCTTAGACTTGAACTTGGGTAACTTTATTTGTTGATAGAATTATTTAACGGGCTTTGTTATCTATACTTTGTTTACTTTTTTAGTTAATTTTTGAATTTCCTATGATTTTCAGGGGAATGGGAAAGAAGTTTAAAGATCTATTTTTGTTATAATAATTCTAAGACTATAAATATATAATATTTTAGTATACAATTGACTTACCAAACTTCAAGTATAATATATAGCAGAATTTTACAAAATTTTCTATCTTTTATATCTTTTAAAATTCAAAAATTAGTAATATATATACTATGCAAATAGCTTTGCAAAATATTTTTACTGTATTAATCTTTGTAAACAAGTTTCTGTGAATAAATCAACTTGAGATCCAAAGCTATATTATACAAACTATTTAATTTATTTTTCTATTCTAGTTGTAATATTTTACAAGATTTTGTTATAACAAGCCTTGGTGCAATCTTCATAACAATAATATAATCACTACAATTATTTCTTAATACTTCTAAATAGTTTAAAAATAAAGAATTTTTTGGATAAATTCTTGTATATTTTCATTTGATTTACGAATTACTTTAAGTGCAATATCCTATTATACACTATTAATTCTATTAAACTAATATATATAATAGTCACAATTCTTCCTTTTTCTAATTTATTGATTTTTCTAATCAATTCAAAACTATGATAATAACAAAAACCAATATTATTTATTGCTACCAAATCACCTAACTCAGTTTTTTTCATAAAATAAATAAATTAAGAAATTAATATTTAGCAAAAGTAGTACAAAAGATATACTATATTGTTACAAAATAACAAGCATAGGTATTAATTAGAGGTTTGGCCCAAATTAAGTTTAATTTGGGTTAAAATTTGTAATTTCACCTCTGTATATTATTTTGCAACAATACAGTAGCTTATTGGTTATTTAAATAATAACAAGTTTAAGTACTGAGTTTAAAATTTACAACATGTCTGGTTTGGTCTGGTTTGTTTTTTTGTAGCTTAGCTAATATGTAAAATAAGCTACAAAAAACATATCAGACTAGACCAAACATGTCACAAACTTCAGACCAAACTATATATATATATACAAATATAAATATATTCAGACTTGAACTAGTTTGCAAACTTTAAACTAGACTTAGATCAGATTTATAGTTAAGTTTGAGTCTGGTCTAAAGTTCAAAACTAGTAAAATTTAGAGTTTGAGTTTGGTTTGATTCTAAACTAAACCTAAACCAAACTGAACTCAAACTAGACCTAGAAGTTCTAATTTTAATAATTATATACAGTATAATACTATCTGATATTTAAAGTTAGTTTATAAGTTTATTTTAATAATATTTTAAATTTTTAACTTTTTAGTTTAGAATCTTATACAGATTGAAGACGGTATCTATAATTTATGTTAAACCAGTATTGTTATAGAAATTTTAAAAATAATACAATAATAATACTACTGGTATTATCATCAAGATTTCTATTTCTATATAATACAGTACTGGTTTAATGTAAATTATAGATGCTGCCAAATCAATAAATAATTGATATATATCAGAAGACAAATTTTCTAATATATATCTATTATTCTACTATAAATTTACCAAATAACTATAGCATATTAATAGCATATTAATAGCATATAAGTTAAATATTAGAAGGTAGATTAATAATAGTAATATAATAGTAATATATTAGAATATTCTAGTATCTTACTCTTAGTCCAAATGGTACTAAGAATAAAATACTAGGATGTTTTAGTATATAATTATTATATTATTATTAGAGTATATTTATATATCTACTAAAATTTAATAATCAACTAATCAAATTGTATAAATTTAATCATCCTGGATTAGTCTAACAAATTAAAACAAAGTGAAGAAAAGCAAAAAATATAAAAAATACAAGAAATAGTAGCCTAAACCAACTTTAAATATTAATAAAAAGTGTCAGAAAGATAATTTTGTATATATAAAGTTTATTTAACTCTAATTTAATTTTAACTAGACTGTCCTAACTCTAATTTTAGTTAAAAAACAGTAAATAAACTTTTGGTAGACATATAAATATATTCATTACTATTATTGATCTATCTTCTAATATCTAACCTATATGCTACTAATATATTATCAATATATTATCAATATGTTATAGTTACAGTATTTTGTAAATTTATAGTAAAATAATAGGTATATATCAGAAGATTTGTCTCCTAATATATACTTATTATTTATTAATTCAACCTATATTAATTTTGAAGTTTGCAATTTCTTATGATTATTTAACTTCTACTAGAGTTAATACTTCAATCTAAATATATTTTTTATATTTAAATTAATCTGAGTTTATTATAATATAAATCTGAATTTATTTATATTTAAATTTAAAAATATTAAGTTAAACTTCTCTAAATACATATTCTCTAAATATATAGTCTTTCTAAATGCATAGCCTTGTTTGGCCCCAACTTATATAATACTTATAAATTTTTATTTCTCTAAATACAATTCCTCTCTAAATGTAAAATTTTTTGGCAATCTAAGGCTATGTATTTAGAAAGAACTGACTATATATTATATTATATTACATAATATAATATATATCCAGATATATAAATTTAGATAGAGATATTAACTCTAACCTTTACAATTTTTTACTTTTGCTATTGTAAGTTTATTTAAATCCTAATATTTACTTTTTATTATCTTTATACTTTATATCCTTGGTTTCATCAGCTTTCCAATTTAGATAGTCTAATATATTAGATCTACTTAGCTTTAAATATCTTAGAAAGCTTCTAGATATTAGGTAGATATAGTCCCTCCCAGAGTCAGTCGTTTGACACAATAGTTTGACAATTACAAATTCGATTACTTTAGAATTTGTAATTGTCAAATGATTGATTATTTTAGAACTTGTAATTGTCAAATGATTGTGTCAAATAACTAACTCTAGGAGGCTATATTTATATAATAAGTGGAAGTTTCCTTATAGTATTTCTTTCTTTAGTACCTGTTTCTAGAGTATATATCTTTTTTTTCTGATGTGATTTCAGCAGCCTGGTTAGTAAATCTCGCCTCAAGAATCTTGTATTGCCCAATTTTACTATTTCTTTAAATTAGTTTAGATTAGTTCTGTAATACTATTAAAAATCTTTACTAATTCTACTTAGATCATAAAACCTAACTAATTAATAAAGATTTGTTACTATAACACAATTTTATTTAAAATATTGGTAGTGGAATTCAAACTTGGTACTATAATCAAGGTAACTTGGGGTGTGATAACTACACTACAACACTAAGTTACCACACTCTAACTTTAATATTAACTTTTGTTTTGATATTTTACTTGTTAGCTATTAATATATAGAAGAACACAATATGCATATTTAGATATTTTTTTAATTTTAACAATATATTTTCTAAATAAAATATATAATATTAATTTTGTTTTATTAACTTTGTTATAAAAATTTTTAGGGTTTAATTTTTTATTGCACCTGCACCCCTACTATATCTTAAAATTTTACTAGGGTAACCCTGTTGTATAACTAACAAAAAATAATTCTCTTGCAATTTTACCTAACCCTAACCCTAACACTAACACTAATTATACTAACCCTAACCCTAATTATATATAAATTTCAATTTTATAAAAGAGGTGCAATCTATTGCATCATGCAATAAATTATGAATTCCAAATTTTTAAATTTATTAAAAAACTTGGAGCTATAAATGGTCGATAACATATGCACAATAGAAAGCATAACTTGACTCTAATTTTACGTAAATATTTAACAAATCCTTATCTATAAAAACTTGCAACCAAATTGTATAAAACTGGGATTGAAACGCACAAAATTTTTTCATAATGCCGGGACGAATTATGTTGGTCATGGGCCAGGCAATTTTAATACCAGCTGAATTAAACGGCTAATAGTTAAAGAAAATTTAGGTGGTTCAATCCTTACCAAAAACTACTGAAAATTTTCAATTATTTAGGTGTTAATTGTTGATATGTTCATTGCTTCTATTAGAATGCACAGAAATATTTTATCATGTATATTCTCATAAAATTTCAATTATGCGTTTTGATAAGAATCTTATAAGCTTTATTATAAAAATAGGTAGTGAAAGTTCGTTAGGTCGAAATTGACCATGCATACAAATGTGTCATAAAAATACATGTAGTCAGATTACATGATATATCCATATTCCTTATATGTAAAAACGAAGCTTATTTCAAGCGCCCTCTCCCCCTCCCCCAATTTGAAAAATTTACAAAATATAATCACATTTCGGCAGAATCCACTAAAATATATTAGGCCTACAAGAACAAATTTTGATTATTAAAAACCAATTAATAAAATTAATACTGTATAATAACGCAGAAATAGTTACCGCATTTCTCAACAAAGCATCATTATCTAGTTCAGCATACATAATACGATTATATTCTTTACAGTGACTGTTTACATTTTTCCATGTCTTTAAAAGACCATATGCAATCAGTTTAACGTTTCGTAGTGCTTCCTGATTATTCAAAGGTTCAAGTTTTTCAATAATAGAGTTAATTGCATCAATTTGCTCTTCCCAAAAAGTTATAAATTTACGGCAAGTTTTAATGATTAATATCAGATCATTATTCAAAGTCTCTATGCTATTGGTTAAATGATCTCTTTCTGAGAGTAATTTCTTATTTAAAGAATCTATGGCTGCGCCTTCACTGTGGGCCAAAAGTTTTGTCCCTCCCGCAATGGCTATATTTTTAATGAAATGAAAAGATTAGTATTTAATCTAATTAATAAATCAAAAACTCATCATTATTAGTAAAAGCGTTAATAAGAGCATACCTGTACCAGCTGTAGCTGTGAATATTCCAGCATCGAATACTGAAGTACAAACTGCTGCAAGAGCAGTTGTACCTCCAGTAAATGGTGATGCAGCTAAAGCTGTCAAGGCACCTAAAATAGCTAGAGCAATATTTGCTTTTGATGAAGCATTATATTTTTCTTGAGTTGCTTCTTTCTCTGATAATTTCTTTCCTACATCTGAATCAATAATTCGATGACAATTTTTGATATCTGTAGCATATTGTACTAACTTATCAGTGACGTCTGTTAAGTCGTCCCTAATATGCCTAATTTTTAGTTGTAAGATTTCTGAATTCTCCTTATTTTTTCTAGCATCAGATAAACGCAATCTCAACATATTTAAAAGATCATCTTTAGAGAATTCAGCATCATTACAACATTCGGCAAATATTACGACTTCTTCAGCAAATCTTGCCAATTTACTGGATTGTTTCACAGAGTCACTAGCGAAATCTCGAAATTTAAGGCGCTGTTGATTAATTTCTTCAAGCATTTTCGATATTTCGTTATTTTTAACTCTAATTTTCTTGCAGCTGGAAAATCGTTTGATTGTGGTGGTCATTGCTTCTCCAAGAGCTAACATGTCTGGAGCTGTAGACTTCGCATTGTCCTCTGCATAAATAAAAGTCATTCTTCTTATTCACGAAATATTTATTGAAGGAATGGAATGAATTAATAAGGAAAATAATAAATTTATACGTATTAAAAATTTTACGTTTAGACAAAGTTTCATAAAATTACCGTTACATCACCAATTACATATATGGTTACAATATCATCAATATCATGTGAGTTTACGTAGTTGTACAAAAGTCAACGATTTATTTACTTTTGATTTTGCAAACTTTTTATCATGGTTAATGTGCAATTATGGCAAAATCCTGGCTTCCCAGACGTTTCAATTCTTCAAGAAGTTACTACGGAAATTTTAGTTAATTTTCGAAAGTGCAAGGAATTGAAGGCCAAACTTCAATTGCCAAATAATGATATTAATGAATTAAGTCGTATGTTCAATGATTTAACTGAACAAAGAGCCGTAAAATCGCTAAGAATGTCAAGATATGCAGCTGATATAGTTGAGTATATACATATGCTTACCGAGGAAGATGTGAGCGTTAGCGCAATTATTCAGACTCTTAAGTTGTTATCAAATACGGCTAACTCTCAGAAAGATGACTGTGAAAAATTGAAAAGGGATTACATTTCCTTTTACAACATTTTGAAAAATCTCAGAATTGACGACTACGAAATTAATGAAATAGAAGAAATTAATATGAAACGATTAATAGCGGAAACGATTGCTAAACCTACATTAGTTTTTCTTATCGTATGGCTCATAACATATTACAGTAGAGATTATGTTTATGATTTTGGTAGATTCATAATTGACGTCATTTATCAATACAATTCCGGTCCTGCCGATGAACCGCAAAAAAATGAGGGTGAGATGGTTTCTAAATTCTTTAATTATTTGAATTTTCGGTAATTCAGTAGATTCATTTAAATCTCCCATAGATTTCGCGGATTCAGTTTATACGAGTCAGGAAGAATCTTTTACTGTTTCTCAAAAAAATTCTAGTTCCAAAGATAATATGTACGCAACTTCTGTGAACTTTGCCGATATACAACCAATTCTTGTGTCATCACCAATGATTGCATGCTATGCCTTAACCATGTTTGTTTGTAAAAAGAGAAAACCGTTTTTTAGGCGATGGAGGATATTATTGAATCGGTTTGGTAATCAGATTTTCAGATTTTTTAACCGAAATGAATATGAACTGATCCCCACGGAAAACGAGAGATCGAGTCTTGTTCAATACATTGAAAGAATCAAAGATCGACTTCCAGTAATCATAGATAATATTGATGTATTATGCCAATTTTGGAATGCACAGATTGTTACTATCAACGATAATATTTCATTTTTAGAATCAGTAGATGCAACTAGAGAAGTTAAGATACCCCGCCAAATCGGGATGGAAATTGAGAAACTTTGGAATGACGAACACAATCGTTGCAGGAATTGTCATTACAATTTGAATGAAAACGTTATTTTGAATTCTATGCCTGGAATCAATGTAATTAATTATTTAGTTGTTTATTGTATTTTTTAGATCATATATTTTTTGCATAATAGGTACTAATAAAATTTTTTAATGCCTAACTTGTTGGGAATATAGTGATCTCAGAAGATGATTTTTTTATTATTTTGAAGTGGATCTTCAAAATATCACTTTATTGGTTATTTTTACTTGATAATTTTTTGGTTTAAATAACACATATAATATGTAAATGCGAGGTATTCTTTTAATGGTTTATAGCATAAACAACATGTATTTGACTAAAAATATCAATTTCATTATTCATAAAAGATTTATTATTGTAACATTAAATTCTTATTATTTAACGCGTCATATTAAGGGAATATATTTTATCGAATCAATATAAATATTCTAATTAATTTGTTAACGCGAATTTCAAGTATTTTCGACCTTGTCAAATTTTTTGGTTACGATTAATATAAGTATGATACGGAAATGGTATAAATTTGGAGCATGGATTTAAAATGAAGTGTTCTTGTTTGTTATAAAACGGTTAATTTGTGGTTATTCTTGTAAACCAGATTATCGGCGGTGGCTTTGGCCACGTGTCGAATAAAAATCTTTTTTAAACAGTTTTCCTAGTATATAGTAAGTATATAATGTGTATAATATACATTTATTGGTTTTCGACAATATGAAATAAAGGACAAAATTGATAATATATAAAAAAAAAAAATTTACAAAAAAAAAAAAGCAAAAAAAAAAAAAAAAAAAAAAAAAAGAAAAAAAAAAAAAAAAAAAAAAAAAAAAAAAAAAAAAAAAAAAAAAAAAAAAAAAAAAAAAAAAAAAAAAAAAAAAAGTGGTAGGAAAAATAAACACAAATAGTTTATTTCCACCAAAAATCATAGACAACCAAAACAAAAAAATATATTTACATAACCGTTTGGCATCAAAAAATTTTTTTTTACATTTTCCTTTTTTCATTGTTTTTTTTTTTTAAAAAAAAAAAAAAAAGAAAGAAAAAAAGACTATCCTAAATTACACATTTGCTTAGTAATGGCTTTAAATGATTCACGTAAGAATCAAAAACATTTTGTACTTTAGTCCATTGTTGTTTCATTGAAGTACCTTGATAACAGAAAATTAACCGATTAGGAATGGCAATGAAATTTAAATACCAAATAAAGGAAAAAATTAAAAATACTTACTTATAATCCGAGACATTCGAAAGAAGTTACCATTTATATTGTCCTTATATTTTTCTGTAACCTTAGAAATATCATCAACTTCTTGTCTGAAAAATTCCTCAAAGCAACTGAATTTATCAACCATCGTAATAAGTGCAGCCATAACACATTCAAGATGCATTTTAGCATCCTCAATTTGTGTTAATTGGGTTTCTGTAAGTTTTGCTTTATCGCCAAATTGAACACTAGTAATTGAAGTACCTATCATGGAACCGGCAGAAGCCACACCAAGAGCACCAACAACAGCCAAAGACGCGCCGGCTGTAAATGGAGCCGCACATATTGCAATACCAGTTCCAATCCCAGTACCAACAGCCGCAATCATATGTTGGAATTGTTCCTTCTTAGCTTCTTGTACATCTTGTTCCAGTTTTTTTTCTACACCGCTTAAGTCTTCAAGCTCATTTAAGACATTTTTCAATGAAGCTAATGTAATTTATTAAATAATTTTGTTTTAATACAAATAAGAAAAAAAAAAAAACTCTCGTTATATAAATGATGTTTCTTACCCATTATATCGCAATAACCCTTTGTTAATTTTGCAGCGTTGCTTCTGTTGGAAGAGGCTGCTTGTACTTGTGATTTCATTGCCTCAACAAAATCATTTCCTGAGACATCTTCATCAAACAACACTTGAACATATCTTTCATTTATTTTTTTTTTTTAAAAAAAAAAGGTTAGTAATCGAAAATATAATGAGACATAGTTGTTATGATCATATTAAACATACTCCATAAAATCTGACGCATATGCCGCCATTTTCCCGCAATGATTTATGCTATCTTGCGTTAATGATCTGAATTGACGTGCGAGTTCTACGATATTCTTTATATGTTTAGGGATAATCGTATCTTTTACATTCTCGTTTGCACATTGTTCCAAATGAATCAAAGCAGTTTCAACTGCTTGTTCGAGACCGTCGTTATCTGGAATCGGGGGGCTTCTAAAGTCATGAACGTTAATGCTTGCATTACTAGAAGGGTTAAGTTCAGCACTTTGCTGCAATCAAAAAAAAAAAAAATGTTAATATAAATTATTGCAGAATGGATTTCCGAAATGGGTTTACTTACAGTCATATTTACAAAATTTTTAATTTTTACAAACCAGATGTTTAGATAATACGTGATCTTTTATATTTATATCAGCCTCTTGTTTGGTAAAAAAAATCGGAGTTTAAAAGGACGTGGCAGGAACCAGGCTGTGCGTTTCAGAATATGTACTACCTTAAGATTTTTTCTGCGTCACAAGATTACCTCATATGTTAGACAAATGAGTTGATTTTCTTTGTTAAATTTCCATAACAAGCCCATATTAGAAACGTGATCAATAACAATAATCGTTATCCAATAACATTTTTACATAACTGATACTATGCAGAATGCACGTCATTAATAACATTTCACATGTTGATACCGATACTTAAAGTGTCTTAAAGTGTCTATAAATGGGCAAATCCCGCGTAGAAAATTCTGCGTTTTGCAAATACAATATAACGTTTTTACATTATTAAAAACTTTAAAATATTCAAAAAACAAAAATCCACTGCGAATGAAGATTTATATATCCCAAGTTTCATGGGAGAAAATAAACAAGAGTTTAATAGCGTCTTTTCATGTAGTTTTAAACTAGAAGCCCTCACAGCCCGGTCTGATCTGCTGGACCTAACAACGTATATTGTGCCTTAAATGTCAATTGTTGATTGGCACCGCAGATTTATTTCCTTCGTTGTGGTACCTGAGGTATTGAGGAAGGTACTGTACGTACATTATCGGATTATACTAATAGGAATATCTGTCATTATATATATATGTCTTGTATGATATATATATCATGTCATTCTTAGATTCACAGGTATAAATTTAGCCTTTTAAACTGCCGTGAGATACGTACAACACAGTAAGATAGGGGTTCATTTATCCGTTGCATATCTAAATTTAACGAATTTCTGAATATCCGGATTACCGATTTATTTGTTTATAAAAATTTTATCATTATTCGTTATTTTATTATACGTACGTATAAAAAAGATTTATACATTTTTAGCTAAAAAAACAAATTTCCATATATATATATATTAAAATTTTGACAACGTGTCGGTTCTTTTATTTCTGTCTACATAATATTCGAGAGGGTCTAACTTATATCGTGAGTATAATCGAGATTCATTTGGTTCACACACCGAGAAAGACGGCATTTATCGATTAATAAAAATCAATAAACGGCAAATCTTTTCTCATATATTGTGCAGTACATGTTTCTACTTTTCATTGCCGAGTGATTCCTCGTGAAATTTTGATATAATACGATCAACCTGATCCGAACACTAAATGCTAACCCTAAAAGGCTTGGAATATACAACCCTCTCATCCTATCATTAACCATATGGAGCTGTTAGGTTTCTATTTGATTTTCACGTTATACTTTTTAAATCTTAAGTTTATTGCAGGATCTGTAAATTGCCCACCACAAAATATTATTGGGAAAATGAACAATTTAAACACTTTTTTATGCAATTTTACAATGAATACTTATCATTTCCCATTTACCTGAAGTAATAAAAATCTAACCATAACCCTAAGTGATGCCAGGTGAAGCCTGTCAGTAAAATCATGAAGTGAGTAACAATTTATCTGGCATTAGAAATTGTAGTAAAGAACTTACTTGCTATTCTAGTAACATACAGTGCTTTACGGAAACTAGCTATTTTTTTTCAATAAAATTAAAATAATCTTAAAGATATTAATACAATTATTTTTTTTATATTTTATAATAATTTAAAAATTATTTTATAATTATATATTATATAATAATTTTACAAGAAATTATAAATAGTTGCAGGTATGGCAGCTAGTGTGGAACCTCGGGCAGACTACTTAAATAGGCAACCAAAAGTTGCAGGTATAGCTAGTTGTACTCTCACTTGTAAAAAGTCAGAGAGCTTAAATAGGTAATCTCCTAGTTAGATTGCAGGCATGGCGACTAGTGTAGAACTCAGGCAGACCACTTAAAATAGATAACCAAAAGTTGTATGTGTGGCTAGTTGTACTCTTATCATAATTGTAAACATTGTTAATTATCTAATAAAAAGCCCCCGGCTATAGAGGTCACCTTAACACCGAAAAAAAAAAAAAAAAAAAAAAAACAATTTAAAGAATTTAAAATTAATTTATTATATATATAATGATCTAATAGATAAGTTTTAATTAGATTATTTAAACTGAGTACTCTCAAGCACCTAAATTAATAGATCAAAGCTTAATTTTTAGTCAGTAGAAAATAATTTGGATGGTCAAGTAAGCTTGTTGTTATAATAAAAAAAAAGGTCAAAATCATCTTTTTTTGTTATTATATTAGTTGAAATTTAAGATTCACATTTTACTTTTAGCAAAATTGCTATAAGAATTACCTTAATTAATCATATTTGAAGCTCTAAATAAAAATATTTAGGCGATTTACTACTCATTTAGTTTCTTCATATGTTAATCGCTTAACAATTATCTATATATTATTGCTAATATTATACCTTTTATTTAATTTTAGCTATTTAGAGCAGTGTTGCTACATAGACACGGATATGAACTGGATGTCTGTGTCTATATCCAAAGATATCAATGTCTGCTAGATATTGGACAATTGTAAATAGTATGTACGTATGCATTTCGAATAACTAGAGCTAATAATTGATTTGGCCAAAAATTTTAAAAATTTTCAGCAAAATCAATTATTAGCCCTCTTTAATTAAGTTAAAATAATGTCTTGGGCAATATTGTGCTATACTGTACTTTCAAAAGCCATATCAATTTATTTATTTATTTATTATTTATT